ACCCCTAAAGCCCTAAACCCCCAACCCGAGATCTGCCACGAACCTTCTTCCACTTCCCCCGGCGCTCGCGCACCACACCAGGCAGCGACTCCTTGGCTGCAGAACGGCTTAGGGCTTGGGCTTTAGGCTTTGGGAGTTGAGGGGTTTGGGGGTTAGGCTTTGGGAGTTGAGGGGTTTGGGGCTTAGGGGTTTAGGGGTTTGGGGTTAAGGGGTTTAGGGGTTGAGGGGTTTAGTAGGGGTTTAGGGGTTTAGGGGTTGAAGGGTTTAGCGGTTTAGGGGTTTAGGGGTTTAGGGGTTTCGGGGTTTAGGGGTTTAGGGGTTTAGGGGTTTAGGGCTTAGGGTTTAGGGTTTAGGGCAGGGGTTTAAAGGTTTAGGGTTTGGGGGTTTAGGGGTGTAGGGGTTTAGGGTAGTCAAAGTAAACACTGAACAATAGTTAAGGTTTAGGGTTTTGGGCTGGGGAGTTGATTAGGGTTTTGGGGGGTTATCTTTTTATGAAATATAGAATAAGTCTGAGTCCCTAAACCCCAAACCCTGAGTCTACAAGGACAACATCTCAGAGATCAACGCCAGTGACTCCGAAGCACCATGGTGAAACCCCCAAACAGCCCCGAAACCCCGAACCCTAGACCCTAAACCCTAAACCCTGAACCTTGAACCCTGAACCCTAAACCCTGAACCCTGGGCAGAGACTCTGTCAGATTCCATGTCAGCCAGTGGAGGAGAAACGCAGTCGCACGACACAGAACGAAACATCGCGAACCAGACGCTCCTCAATCCGACGGCGCCTACTATAGTCTCCATTGTAGTTCCTTTTTGGGGGTTTAACCAATTATATATACAAGGAATTTATAAGGTCTCCCCAAAAAAGAACTACAATGGAGACTATAGGTAGATTCTGAACCAGCCCTAAACTCTGAACCGTACTCCAGGCGAATTTAACCCCCGTCAGTCACATAAGCCCAATCAATACTTGGAGCTTCAAACTCGAGACCGGCCGTAAACGGGCTTTGGACTTTGGAGAAGTGTACCTACCTCAGTCGCCATGTTATTTTCCAAAGCACGAGGAGGAGGGAGGAGGAGGAGGGGGGATGAACAACACAAATTCGAAGTGGTGGTGTGCGCAACGCTACTGCGCGTGACTGCGAGTGTGCTTTTGCGACGGTCACGCTTTCACTAGCAGTCGTCGTCCTTATTGTTGAATGTTGGTGCCAGAGCTCTTTGAAAATATGAACTGTTCTACGTAGAAACAAACACAAACTATATCCGGAACACCCGCAACCCTACACCCAGGACCCTGGAACCCTTAACTCCCTTAACCCTGACATGCAAAAGCGAGGAGCGTAGGCGGAGGCCTGCCAAGGCCTGATGGTCGTGCTGTCTGCTCTAACGATATAAATCCAAAGGAGTTCAGGGGTATAGGGCTTAGACTTTAAAGGGCTCATTGGTTCAGGTTTAGGGTTTAGGGTTTCGGGGTTTAGGGAAAGAAGGTTTTGGGGTTGAGCTTCCGCACCGATTTCCAAATTAGGTCGCTTATAGTGTTGAGGGTTGAAGTAAGGAACTTTGCTTGATTCTACTAAGCTCAGATCCTATCAAGCATATCCCGAAGTTAATGAACTCTCTGGACCCTGCGCCCCAAACTCTAATTCAAGCCTACATCTACAGCCACTCCAGTCACCAGTCTATGAAATGCTGGGCGGAGCACCACGACGGCTGGGACCCAACCAGAAACCCTTTCAGATACATCTGACAAACTCTTCAATCTACACACTTTGAGCCCGGAAAAAAGTATACGCACTGCCATCGCGAACCCTAAACCCTGAACCCTCAACCCCTAAACCCTAAACCCCTAAACCCCGAAACCCTAAACCTCAATAGATTGACGGTCTGTGCCCCGAGCACCAGACCTCGAACGAATCCGCAATCTTACTCCAGCAGGCTTGGTCTAATGATTGCGGCTTCGGGCATAGAGCTCCTATCCCTTATGAAGCCTACATATCCCAAAACACTAAGCCCGCGGAGCTCTTAACCCCTAAACCCTTGCAACAAAAAACTAAACAGGAAGCTCTGCAGCCCTGACAAGCCCAAACCCTAAACCCTAAACTACTAAAGCCCTTAATTACCCTAACAGCCCAATTACTAGAGCCCTTTAACAAATCCTACCCAAAC